GAACTTGCTTTTTTCCCACCAGTTCACTCCCTACTTTGGCCTGCTTTGGGGAGCTTTCCTGTCCTAGCTGCATTTCAGAATCCAACCCAGCTTCCCATCCGCTGGCTGGTGCCCCCATCAGCTTAGCTAGTTTTCATCAAAGATGGGACCCAGGGTGCCTGGCTGGCTCAGTCTGTAGAGCACGTGACTCTCGATCTCAGTGTTGGTGAGTTCAAGCTCCCCATTGAGTATAGAGCTTACTTAGAGACAGAGAGAGAGAGAGAAAGAAAATTATTAGGTCAGGCCAATCATTTATTGAACTCCTATTGTATACCAAACGAGCAGGCATTTATTGAGTACCTTCTGTAAACCAAACCAATAGATGTTTATTAAACATCCATTGGATACCAAATCTACATTTATTTATTGTTTACCATGTATGCAAGTCAGTAAGTGTTTGCAGATGGTCCGCAACTTACAATGGTTCAACTCAGTTTTTCAGCTTTACGATGGTACAAAAGTGATACACATTCAGTATAAAACTATACTTCAAATTATAAATTTTGATCTTTTTCCCACGCTAGCTATATGTGTACAATTCTCTATCGTGATGCTGGGTATTGGTAGCACGCTGCAGCTACCAGGCAGCCGTGTGATCACGAGGGCAAACAACTGATACATTCTGGTTTTCACTTTCAGCATAGTATTTAACAAGTTCTATGACATATTTAATACCTTGTTATAAAATAAGCTTTGTGTCTGATGACTTTGCCCAACTGTGGGCTAATGGGAGTGTTCTGAACACGTTTAACGTAGGCGCGGCTAAGCTATCATGTTCAGTAGGTTAAGTGTATTAAACTCACTTTCAACTTAAAATATTTTCAACTTACGAAAATGGGTTTATTGGGATGCAAGCTTATTGTAAGTCAAGGAAAATCTGTACTTTATGCCTGGAATTGAGAAGAACACACAAGTTGTAGCTATTTCTAAAAACTTGCAACTGAGTTGTGGAGCCAAAATGTTATACAACTATGGCTATAAAAGGCAGGGCTTACTACAATAAGTGCTATGTTGTACAGAACAGCCTCTAAGCCCTTTGAGAATCTAGAGATGGGCCTAGAGATCTGCATAGAAAGGGGTGGCCATAGAAGGCTTCATGGAGGAGTTGAAACTTGAGCTGGGTTTTAACGGATAGACAGGACTTAGATAGACAAGGGGAGTAGGGACTGAGGTAGCATGGCTGGCCAGGGCTGTATGTATTTTGAACCCTAGGATATAATTCTTGGCATCCATTATTTGAACCTGGTGTCCTTTCCTTTCTGATTTTCCAGAATTCTTGTAACATCCAGATCCTCCATGATCCCTGTTTCTCCTAGGCCACAGCTGATTCCTTGCCAGTCTATTATAATTTGTCCGGTGATCAAGGGCTGATGTCATTTGGCTAACACCAGAATGGGCAGCCTTGGGGAAAGGTGTTTATGACACTTTCAGCAGAAAAGGGCATAGAACCCATAAAAGTTGGTTTAATCACATCTAACTATGGTGGATTTCTAGTTCAGGTGTCCTCCTACCTTCTAACCCAGAAGTCTTTAAAATAATCATGTTTATTTCCTCTGCCTGGAGCCTTGAGACAGCAACAAGGCTGTTGAGAATTTACTAGATTGAGAATTTATTAGATGGTCTCAGTGACCTCTTCCCATATTTCTGAAAGCAGGAAGAATGACATTTTACTATTTTATTACTCTAATGGCCAAAAATATAGTCTACTTTCTAGAAATTAGTCATAAGAATCGTCTGACCTCTCTGAGTCTCAGTTTCCTCAACTGCAAAGCGAAGGTTATTTAGAGGATTAACTAAAACAACACACTTGCAGTGTTGTGAATGGAGTCAAATGCCCAATACATGTTCAGTGAACACAGATTCCCTTCATTCCCTTGTTATACCCCATCTGGTGGAAAGTTCAACACAGCAACATGACCTCTCCACTCAGTGTATCATCAACCGTCCTTCCTCCTTCTCCCCTCCCGGCCATCCACATGAGAAGGCCAGGCCTGAGGCCTTGTGCTTTGGCATCCAGGCCCTTGAGCCTCTATCACAGACAATATGGGGCTGCAGCCCATGACTTGGCCCTGGGGTGGGGAAGAGGAAGACCCAGGCAGGATCAATCTCATTCTTAGGGGAATTTACAGCATAGTGAGCCATGCCCTCTGTGGGACACCCTCAGGGAAGACTCTCAGGCCAGCTCTGCCACCAAGTACTTTGGGCTGGGGCACAGACCATCTGCTGCCCCTGGACTACTGCATTTCTTCCTTCAGAGGGAGACTTTGGGGACGGCTGTGTAAGACAGTCCTCCACCTCTATTTTCCCACAACTTTGACCTTACTCTTATGCTCGTGCCATGCTCTTCTCTGTCTTTGTCTGTGTCCTCCACTTCTCCTCCCCCACCCCCCACTCAATAAGTCCAGATCTTTGTGCCTGCTGGTCCATCTTCCTAAAGTGTCCTTCCCCTTCCTGCATCCTCCTAGACGACATTTTCTTCACCAGTCCAGCTCAGATGTTTCCTCTTCTGAGGAGACAGACTCCTCAGACTCCCTGACTCACCCAACTTACTATATCCAGTCCCCTAGGTATGTCTCTGTGCCTTGGTTTCTACATCTGGAAAATGGGGCTGATGATGCCAGTATTAACATAGCTAATCACAGTGTAGTGGTAAAAATGGAATGAGATAATAGTAAAAAGCACCTTGTAAAGGACTGTATAAGTAAGCACCATTGTTAATGGTAGGTTTGTGTCCAACAGAAACTGGTCTGTGAGTGTGTAATATTGTATAGTGGGGGATGAGATCCCATAGTGTAGCGGTGTGGAAGGAACGCTGGACTCAGAGGCAGAAAACCTGCTTCTCTCTACTGCTGGACTAGGTGTTCCTGAGCCAATGCCCACCCTCTCTGGGCCTCAGTTTCCTCCTCTGCATGTGAGTGTGGCCTCCAAGTGCCCTCCTAGTTATGCTCCCTTGGCTCAGACACTCTGGGTACTGGGCTGTGCAGGTATTGCCTGAGCTCTGAGACCCTGCCCAGCTCCCAGGCTGGACAGCTCCCTTGGAATTTCAGAAGGAAGCAGAGGCTCCCAACTCTCAGCATCTGGACAGCACCTCAGGTTGGGAGGCTGGAGAGCCCAGGCTGTCAGGCCTGGGGTGGGGTGTGGGAGAGTGGGAAGCTCACTTCCAGAGGAAAAGAGTAGAGATCAGCAGTGGTAACGAGCTCCAAGTCCTCAGAGAGCAGGCGGGAGGGGTCTGGGCCAACTCTAGCACCTTAATGAAGAAACTAAAAGACGGTAGCCTTTGGGATTTGGCTACAATATTTAGGGCCAAGATCACCAAAATCATTTAGACCCTGATGTCCTGATTGGCCCTAATCCAGATATAAGACATAGGATTCTCACCTGATGCTATGGAGAAGAAAAATTTTCCACTGTGATTGTTCAGCATCTTATTAGCAATCAAGGGCACTATCTCACACACAGCAACTATGGGAATTTTTTTTTTTTTTGAAGTCCTTTGGTGTGTCTTTGATGCTGGATCCAGTAATTGGCTGTTAGGTTTTAAAGGCTTGGCATTTCCACTGTGAGTCATAACTGTTCATTGACATACCTCATTTATTTCTTAATTCCTTTTAAATCCCCAAAAGATAAAACACATTGCATGAAAAAATTTAAAACTGCACTTCTTTAAACAGATTCTATGTTGTATACTTTTCCTAGGTCTTTCAGCCATTTATTTACCCATCAAGTGATCATCTAGTGTCTCTTGTGTACTGACAACTTCTCTTACTTTCTTACCCTCACACCCATCCTGTCACTTAATAATCACAACCACCCTATGAGCCAGGGATAGTTACTCTCTTTTCACAAGTAAGGAAAATGCAGCCCAGAGAGGTTAAGTGACTTGCCCAAGGCCACACAGTAAATGACTGAAACAGGATTTTGACTTAGGACATTGAACTTCTAATTGTATCATTTTGGCCTCCTCTCACCTTCTTTGCTCTTCACCCCCATAGTCCTCATGCCCTGCCCCCTACTGTTTTGAAGCAGAGAACACTGAGGACAATGATAGTTGGGTAGATAGAACACAAACCAAGTGGAGGAACACTTGGTCTTACCCCAGAGACCTAAAGGTCATGGTCACCCATTACATGCCAGGACCCATGGGGGCTCAATAGCATATGACTAATACTCTGGATGAGAAGGGGAAATTAAACAGGGGCACAAATAACTAGGCTTCAGACAAGATAGCTGGTCCTGTAGAAGAGCATCTAAGGAAAGGAGAAGGAGAAAATTCTACCAATTAGAAATCAAGTCTGAACTTGATGCAGGCAAGTAGGGAAAAAGTCAGCAATTCAAAAAACCTTCTGTTCCCATTAATCTCATGATGTTAGATTAAGATGTTTTACATAGTGGGGCACCGGGGTGGCTCAGTTAGTTGAGTGTTTGACTCATTATTGTGGCTCAGGTCATGATCTCACAGTTTGTGAGTTCGAGCTCTGCATGGGACTCTGGGCTGACAGTGCAGTGCCTGGTTGGGATTCTCTCTCTCTCTCTGTGCCTCCTCCCCCCTCTCAAAATAAATAAACTAAAAAAAAAAAAAAAAGATTTTTATGTAGTGGCAGGATAGGGTATGAAACCACATCCTTTGGCAGGAGGTGTTGTGAGGTGGGGAAATGGCAGCACTCTGTTGGCACCATCAGATCCTTGGTATTCTCTCAGGCAAGTAGCCTGATCTCTTCTGATCTTACTTCTTTATCTGGAAAAGGGAGATCTTTCCCATCTCTTGGGATATTACCAGTAGATTAAACAAGATAACATGTGCAAAGCCCTCAGTGCAATTCCTGGCATGTGGCAGCTGCTTGAACATTGTTATTTAAATTCCATGAGTTATGTTGAGTTAGTTGGTCCAGAGTAGAGGCGACTCAAAATTGGGGCCAAAAGAGGGCCCCTGGGACTTAAGGGTTAACATAGCATAGACATGATTCTTTGTAAAAACATACTCTTTTTTCCAACGTGCCGATGAGACTCCTACAGCCCACCATGGAGTTGGTCAAAATGGAAGTGAAGTGAGCTCCAATTTGAGAATCGTAATGGACTGTTGATGTGCCAATGGCAAATGCTAATGATGATTGCAAACAAAGGGTGGTGGCCTGTAGAAATGAAAATCTTCTACGTTCTCTGGAAGAAAAGAAATATTTATTTGAGACCACTGGTTGGGTGCTTTAGGCTGAAAAAGGCAATACGATATGGGAGACAACATGGTAGAGGGAAGCCTGGACTTACAGCAAGAGGATCAAATCCCAGCTTCATCCTCCAACAAGCTTTGACACTGTGGGAAAGTCACCAAGTGTCCTGCCTTGTTTATGGGAACCGTTGTCTTAGTACCTGCCTTATCTCTGTCATAGAATTATTGTCAAAACATGGGGCACCTGGGTGATTCAGTCGGTTAAGCATCCGACTTCAGCTCAGGTCATGATCTCGCGGTCCGTGAGTTCGAGCCCCGCGTCGGGCTCTGTGCTTACAGCTCAGAGCCTGGAGCCTGTTTCAGATTCTGTGTCTCCCTCTCTCTGACCCTCCCCTGTTCATGCTGTCTCTCCCTGTCTCCAAAATAAATAAACTTTAAAAAAAATTAGAATTATTGTCAAAACAAAGAGGTAGCTTCCTCAAAAAATTAAACATAGAATTACCATATATCTAGCAGTTCCACTTCTATGTATATACTTAAAAGAATTGAAAGCAGGGACTCAAACAGATGTTTGTACACCCACATTCATAGCATTATTATTCAGAATAGCTCAAAGATTGAAATTAACCAAATGTCCAACAAAGGTTGAATGAATAAGAAAATGTATACATATACAACGGAATATTATTTAGCCTAAAAAAGATGTCAAATTCTAATACATGCTATAACCTTGATGAACCTTGAAAACGTTATGCTCAATGAAATAAGCCAGACACAAAGGTGCAAGTATTGTATGATTCCACTTATATGAGGTACCTACAATAGTCAAATTCATAGAGGAAAAAAAGTAGGATGGTGGTTACCAGGAACTGGGTGGGGAGAGGAATGGGGAGTTATTGTTTAATAGGTACAGAGTTTCAGTATGAAATGATAAGATTTGAAGGTAAATGGCAGGGATCATTGCACAATATGAATGTACTTAATGCCAACGAACTGTGCTTTCAAAAATGCTTAAAATGATTAAGTTTACATTATATGTATTTTACCACAATTAAAAAATGATAATTTTTTTAAAGAAATGGCATAATGTAGAAGAAAGTGCTTTGCTCTCTGTAGAGCTATAGGAACCAATTAGCTGTGGTAAAGAGGTTAGAAGGTAGCATTTACATTTCTGTTAGAGCAACCACCAAAATTGCGGCCGGCCCGGCCTAGAACTTTTACAGCTGTTTTCTCATCTGTACAATATCAGGAAGATGTAGATATGAAAAAGAAATAGCATCCACTAAGAGTTGAAAGTAGGGCTTCCTCTGAAAAATCAAAAACAGGAGTGGGGGACTGCTGTTTTTCCTAATACACTTTGTAGAACAATTGGACTCTAAACTGTGCAGATATAGGGATGCCTGGCAGGTTCAGTCAGTGGAGCGTGCACTCTGGATCTCAGGGTTGTGAGTTCGAGCCCCATGTGGGGATGATTACTTAAAAAATAAAATCTTTAAAAGAATAATAAAACAATAAATTGTGCATATACATGTTTCACAAAAATAAACATAACTTAGGCATTATTGGGGGCCAAATCAGAAAAAATACCAAATGTTTCTAATTCATTACTTTTTTAAATGCTTCTCATTTACTATCTGTTCTGTTACTGACTTTCATTACATAATAAAATGAACTAGGCCAATGAAACCTGGGTGTTATTGTCAGAAAGAGGTGTCTGACGAACACTGAGCACCCTGAGTTCTTCCACTCTGCTTACCAGGCACCCTGAGAGGGGAGGGCCCTGTCCCAGGACCCTCGGTGTAAGCCCATTGGTAAATGAATCAGTCGGCTTTCCTGTTTATTAATCAGTCTCCCAGGAATTTGGTGCCAAAGCCTGGATTCTTGAGAGCTTGGTTTCCTCACGTGAACTTTGCAGATGGAGTTTGACAACCTCTAAAACCAGGACAAAACCCAGGATCTGTGAGGGGCCCGTCAAAGTGTTCTTTGAAGTTCCTCCTTCCTTCAGGTCTTAGCCCCTTTAATTATAAAACTTAGAGCAAAAATCTAATGATAAACTCTGTGCATAAAGGTCAGTATATACCAATAAGTAAATATTAACTTTGGCGGTAGGTTGGCACAATTTCTAAATTGCACTTCACAGGTACTAACCTAATCTGCCCATTAGCAGTTTTTAACATCATTATTGAGATGTCATTCACATACCATACAATAAATCCATTTATAGTGCAAACATTAATGCTTTTTGGTATATTACATTACTAATTTTTTTAAATTCTAGGTAATATATATATAACATAACATTTTTTTAAAAGTTTGTTTTGAGAGAGAGCATGTGTGCATGCCAGCAGGAGAGGGACAGAGAGAATCCCAAAGAGGCTCTGCACTGATGTCTGCATGGAGCCCAACGCAGAGGGGCTCAATCTCATGAACCATGAGATCATGACTTGAACCAAAATCAAGTGTTGGACATGCATTGCTGGTTTTACTGCATGAATATATAAGTAGCATTTCAGTAGTCTCCTTTTGCTATGCTTTTCTCCCATTCTTGACTTAGTATCATCACTCAAGGGTCTGAAACACATGGTCAGTCTTTTGTCACATTTAATCTAATTTTGGTTATTCCCATGATGACACCTATTGCAAATTATCAACTCATAGCAAACATGTTAAAGAAAATAAAGAACTATTAAGATTGAGAACAACCACAAAAAAAATCAAGAGTTGGACATGTAACCAACTGAGCTACCCAGGCACTCTTTAACCAATTTTAAGTGTGAAATTCAACGGCATTCATTACAGTCTCAAGTGTTTCATTTCATACCTGTGAAGACACCATTTTATAGATGGGAAAACTGGGTCTGAGTGAAGTTAACAAATTTACCCAGAGTTACTCGGTGAGGAAGTGACAAGGTAGAGTTGCAAGCCCTGCCAACCCTGAAAGCTGAGCTCTTCCCAGTGTGTAGTGTTGCCTTCTACTGAGGCAGAAAGGTTTCTCGGAGGTAAGCAGTCCAGAGTGGCCAGAAGGTGGGCTTGTAGGTGCCTCAAGGAGCTAGGCAGGGGCAACTGTGGAGTAGAGTATGTTCTGCTTCCCTGTGCCTCCTGGCCCACCCTCCCCATTCAACTTTGAACCAATTACTTGTGCTCTCCTTTGTGCCTGTCACTCGTTCTCATCTGAGGACTTGAATAGGCCACCCTTCTGGCCAAGCTTTGCAAAAGAAGGACCCACAACTGTCTCTGCTTCCTCATTCCTTATTATTCCTCAACCTGCCGAGATACAGTCCCATGGCTCCTCTGATGTGACCCTCACCTCATTGGTGTCACTGAGTGGCCTCAGTGACCCAACGCAATGGCTGACTCTCTTGGAAGCTATGCTGGCTTTTCCCATGGCTCCCATGGCATCCTTCCTGCTCTCATGATCCTCCAAGTTCTAACCACTCCTCTACCTCCCTCAGTCTGCCCTTAGATGCTAGGTCGCCTCAGAGTTCAGTCCCCAGTCCTCTGCTCACTGTTCCTGCTTGCCCTGGACAGCCTTCTGTGTGACCACAGACAAACCTACAAGTCCCACCAGACCAGACCTCTCATCTGAGCTCCAGCCTCAATCCATGCCTGGCCGTCCTCGCTGGTCGTCCCACCAGGACCTTACATGAACCATGTCTAACATGGAACTCAGCATCCTCTCCAGCTCCAAACCAGCTCCTCTCCCCTTGTCCCAAACTCAGTAAGTCACAGCCCCATCATCCACCCAGGCACCAAGGGCAGAACCTGGAGTCATTCCCTTGAATGTGAACTCTAGTGACACAGAGACCTTGTTCCCTTACTTTTTTTTTAACCCTATACTTTAAGCACCTGGGACTGTGCCTGGCTATAGGAGGTACCTAATAAGTATTTGTTGAATAAACTTTTTCCCTCTTCCTACATACACAAACTATCCCCAGGACCTGTCTATTCTGCCTCCTAACACATCCTTCCATATACCTCTGCTTCGTCCAGGGGCTCTACTGCTACTCTAGCCTAATCCTCCCTCAACACCTGCCTGGGCAAGTACAACAACCTCTTCACTGTTACTTGTGCTCTCTACTTCTGATCTTCCCACTCAAGACCATTCCCCAGGTCACCAGCCAGCAAATTCTCACAAAAACCCAAATGTGTTCTTGCCCTTACCTGCTAACAAATCCTTTATCCTGCTGTGATCAGGATAAATTACCTGGCATTAAGGGGGTCAGCTATGGTTTTGAATAAGTATTTCTGTCCTCTCTGTAGCAGATTTAAGGCCAGAGAGTCTTTGGCCTTCAGCTCAAAACTCTCTTCCTAGGGGAGTAGTGTTGTAGATCTCTCTAACATCAGAGACCTCTGGTAGCTCCCGGCAAAAGTGCTGGCCTGGGTTAGGGCCATGTCGGGCTCCTGCTCCACATCCTCTCCCTGTTTGTCCTCCCCACTCTCGAGTCCATGCAGGGGTCATGACTTGGAAGTTGTGCCCAGTCATTCTGCAGAGTGGGGGAAAGAAGAGAGAGGGACAGAGGCAGAGCTGCCAGGGTGATTCATCTCTCTCCTTGCCTAGGATCCCCCTTTCCTGCCATCATGCGTCTGCATCCTGATCTGCCTGCAGCCACCCCTGAAGATCTAGTGGGGACCCTAGCCTGCCATCAAGGGGCAGAGGCCTTTGTCAGGGTAAGCAGAAGGGAGACAGACCTAGCTACCTCCATTGAAGAGAAGGATTTCTGGCTTCAGCTGCCTTAATGGGCTTGGGTCTTGGTAACTTAGAGCCTAGAGTAATAGAGATTGGGGGTACAGTGAACTCTGGAATCAGGCCAGGGAGTGGGGTGTTGCTGAGCATAGGACATAGAGGGATTCAGGCTGTAAGGAACTTCTGGAATGCTTTGGACTCAGGCTGCAGGAACACTTGAGAAATTCTGAGTATCCAGGCTCAGAGGACATCCTATTGAAGTGGCTCAACTGAAGTTGTGGGACCTTTTTGGGAAATGTACTACATTTA